CTTTCGAGCCTATACAGCTTGGAGTAAGACAACATGCATGAAGAGGATGATGTGGACAAAATACTCATTTGCCTAATAATTCTGCACTCCCTGTATTATTGCTGAAATGCCATAATAGTAGAGTCATGATATAGACTGAAGCAAGCCTTTCATGCAACATTCTTATTATGATGTGATTAAAAGTATATGTAGCTTTTTATCTGATCGGCATTTGTCATTCTGAAATGCTTGAAAAAGATACATATTATATCCTTAATGTGTAAAGAGCAGCAGACCTGTGTGTGCAACTGCGCTCAGCTGAGCAGGTGGGCCTCGTGACGTTGTCAAGCTGCTCCTCTTCTCCCCAGTGCTGGACTGACTGGAGTTGGCTGAGTCGTAGTTGGACAGGGAGCTGGATGGTGAACCGATGTCAAAGTGTGCTGCCTGGGCGGAAGGAGGCATGGTGGTGTTTGGGGAGGACAGGCCAGAGTCAGGCTGCTTGTACTCAAGGTCCGTCGAGGGATCCCGGGACAAAACGCGGTGCTCCACACTCTGCGAGGGCACGAGTTTTATGAACATTCAATTTTCACGATTGTTCAATTTATTCTACTTGGTTGTCTGATATATGGATATCATTTCCACATTACTAAAACAAAGCAAAAAGCATTTGTACATCAATTAATTATTTATTAATCATTAATAAAACACATCTGGTTCATTAATTTTTAGATTTAGAAAGATACAGGGTCATTATGGCAGGCTCATAAATTTGTCTCTTATTAAAATCTACATGTGCATTCATCAGCTGTTAAATCTCACTGCTACTCAGTCCCTGGTGACTTAACGAGGAGAAGAACAGCATTACAGGCACACTAATGAAACACCTCACAGCTAGTGAGAATGGCTCTGGGGATCTTTTTGCTTTTCCCACAATGCAGGACTCAATTGGCTGAATGCGCCCCATGAGAAAGAGCACAAGAAGAGAGAAATATGTCATCGATGCCAAACGAGCTCTGTGAGAAAGAATTATTCCCCTGGCCACTCAGGAACTTCAGAGGGTTAAGGCCATGGAGAGCACTGTGTGTCAGGTAGCTTGACTAATTATCTGAGTCTGAAGTCTGTCATGGGAGGCAGGTTCATAGAAAGCTAAACATTATTGAAATATCTCCATTCTATCTATCTATCTATCTATCTATCTATCTATCTATCTATCTATCTATCTATCTATCTATCTATCTATCTATCTATCTATCTATCTATCTATCT